CCTTCAAAAAGTGGCAGTTAAATGCAGAGTATTGCTCTGAGTGAACAAGCTAAATGTGGGAGAGAATACTTGTTCAGCACCTTGTTGTCAGCTATGGAGTACAGCCAGATTGAGACAGGGAATGATCCAACACCTGGGCTGAGCTGAACTGGGCTGCCTGGCACACGGCTCTGCAGCGACAGGGTACCTGTGGTACGGTGACCATCCTCTGCTCACTGGTTTTCATTTCCTGTATATGGAGTAAACTTGACGGGAAAGAAGCACATTTCAAAGTTTTCTTCGTTCTAATAAAATAAATCATGTCTCTTACATGACTTATCTAACTTACCACCCCTTGCAGTCTTGAAGCTTTAACTGTAAAGCGCATATTTGGGGATAAAAGTAAGTTGTTTTCCCAGAGCCTGTGCTCTAGTTTTTGGTACCCTGACTCAGAGATTTGGGATGTGTGAAGTGTTGAGAACAGATTTTCTTTTGCTCCTAGGGAGTTCTGTTTTCAAAAATGCTGGATTGCATTGCCAGTGGTACAAAACTATAGAGCATGACACAGGTGATTATGAGAGCCTCGCTGCGAGATTTGGCAAGTCATACTACTGTAAAAATATTTAAACAAGACCACTGATTAGTCCAAACAGTGATTCTGTGGTTTTGTTGAATGTTTTTTAAGCCTCTCTCATTGTTCTAGACTACTTGGATATGCTTTGAAACAGAAACTTTTGAAATAAACACTAAAACATACCTTGGAAAATGATGCAGTTTGAAATCAAATATGGGTTGTTGTTTGGTTTTTTTTTTTTTTCCAATTGGCTCCTGTAATCATTAACCTCTCTGTGGCTGGGAAAAAAATCTCAATAAATGTGTCAGTCACTCCTACTTGCACTCAGCTGATATAAGCTGACATGTTTTCATTTTATCTTTCATGTATTTCAGCAGAGGAATTCAAATGTGCACTTTGTTCTGTTCTTTGAACAGAGCACAATACTGACCTCAGAAATAATTGGTTTGAAAATAATGATTTGAAAAGGTATATATAAAGAAAGAAGACATTATGTCCCATCAAAAAGGCAAATGCATTTGACAAAAGGTCTGCAAATGTAGTACTATTGCTACAATTCCACGTTCTTGAAGTATTTTAATTTTATTTCTGTTTCTTTTACATCATTATTTGTCTGAGGCTATGAAACAGAAAACCCATTCATAGAATGACGGAACATGATGGCAGTTTTGTTTCTTTAACACATTTGCAATAAAAACCACAAAAGATCTGTACAACAGATCATTCAGCCTGCAGTGATAAGCTGCTGGTTGTTACTGGTGCAATGGCCCCTACAAATGATGCCGTGCCATCCTTCAAAACCAACATATGAAGGGATTAAAGAAAGCCTTGCGATAGTGTCATAACTCATTATTTTCCTATCATGACAAGTAAGAGAGACAAGTCTATTCCTTGCCAAATCCCAGTCCTGCCTGTCTCCTGATTATCGTACCACCTCCTAGAGCACCAATGACAGTAAAATCCCATTTTTCTTACCCACTGTCCAACTCCCCTCCTTACTACAGGTGGGTGTTGCTGCACTAGAGGATATGTTTGTGATGCCCTTTGCCAGTGATTACCTGGTAGGTGGTTACCTCTGGAGTGATGCAGAAGATATGGTAGCATACTCCAACTTTGCTGCAGGTGGGAACTGTGCCAAGTCAGAATATTCCCCTTCTCCTGTGTGTCCAAGATGGAAAAGCTGGAAGCTGTACTCCTCAAAAGGGTCAGCCACAGCACAGTACCCGACAAAAGTGGGTTGAGCACAACAGACAGTGCCTACAAGTGTGATTTAAAAAGCGATTTCCAATGAGTTGTCCTACTGACAGTAACAATGAGGTGTTTGGTCACCTCAGGTATAGGCTTCTTCTGCTGCTTGCTGCTAGATGTTTCCTGTTGGTGGCTTGGCCCGTATGAGTTTCTACTGTTTTCTGGAGGCTTGCTTGTATCATGAACATAGGCTATTCCTCTTCTGCTCTCTACCTGGTGAAAGCCCCTCCTGTTGAAGTGTAGCAGAGCAATTCCCCCACAGAGAGATCAGAACTGGATGAGTGAAGGGTGATAGCAGACATCAGCCTCCTGGGACAGGGTCCTGGGGAAAAGAAGGCCCAGCAGCATCAGTCATGGTAAAGGACTCTGAGCTTCAGGGGTTCTTTGATAAGGACGTTGACACAGTAAGGCTAGCACGCAAGAATGCATTCAAGGCCCCCTCATCCTGCAAGGTGTAGAACAATTATTGAGAGACATCAATGCTTGGGAGAGGATGGTCTTTTGTTGTGTGATTCATCTGCTCAGGAAAGATGAAGCCTCAAAATTCTCATGGAGATTTGCTATTTTTGTTACCTGGTCTCTGTTAGCTTTCTAAAAGTGGGGTGTGAATAGAAGAAAGCAGTATCATGACCTTGACTGTATCAATAAAGCGTAATTCTTCTTTCTCAGAGGGTTTTTAGAGAAAGGAATGAGCTCATCCTATTGTATGTTCTGCAGACTGCGGCACTCTCAGGGAAGCTGTCTTAGAAAGAATAGGTGCAGTTTTAAAAACTATGTCTGAAGTGGGATGCAGACAGGAGACTGTTTCCACCTCCCATTAGATGCAGAGCCGGTCCTGTGACTGAACAGGCAGTGAGAGTCACTGTCTCCCAAGGGAAAGCTGCATGAGCCAGTGATGAAGGGAAAATACTCAAAATCATACTGGTTTATTTTCTTTCCAGTTTCTGAAATTCATGTGCTGTGTGACCTTGAACAGATCTTCCAGATGCTGTTTCCCATGAGTTAAATGTGGATGATGTTTTTTTCACCTTGAAAAAATGCTTTGAAATCAGAGGACAGTTGTGGAATGTGAAATTTATCTTAGAAATCAAAGGTGACCTGTTGTGCCCAGGAAGGATCCCGTATAAGTAGGCCTCCACTTTTCCCTTAGTTTTACGTTAGTAATACTTTAGGGTTCTGCAGACTTCCTTTCTTCTTGTTTCCCAGATTTTGACGCCTTTTATGCCTCTCACTCCCCCAGACCTATTTTTGAAGCATCTGGCATAGAAGTGGCATAGCATCACAGTTCAAAATCAAAACAATAAAGCTACAAAAAAAAACCCCGCGTCACCATTTTCCAAATAAATGCACACAAGAATACTTGTACCTCACTGCCTTCTCTCCAACAGGAAATAAATGAGGATGAGTCTGGGCAGTGACCATCACACCCTTTCTGCAAGTGGTGCAGGTAGACACTTTTTAGGGGTAGCACTGGCTTTTTGTGGCTATGTAGGTCAGGAAATGTTACTGCAGCATTACCAGTCTGTATCTGTGAGTTGAATAATGGCTAAATATTACCCTGATCTTTGGTAAAGCTGCAGTGATCTCTTCCTCTGGGTATTGGGACTCTTACGATTCTCCGTGGGTGGGCAAGAATTGTAGTGGAGCAGGGCAGAGGCGGGGGGCAGAGCTGAACCCCAAACCCATCTCTGAGGCATGCAGCCGGTCTGCTAGCCTGGGGCTGTAGCAGGGTAGTAACACCAGCCCTTGTGATAATGAGGGCAAGCGCTTTCTCCAGCTTGCAAGCAGAAACTTCCATGTGTCTGTACTACCCACCCCTCACCGGGGCTTGGGCCTGCTGCAGCTTTTCGTCTTGGAGACGGATTCCCTAGTGATCTGTCACCACTGTGCTACGGGGTTGCTGCTGTGCTGGTTCCAGGAATCGCAAAAACCCCGCAGGAGCTTGCTGTGGGACCACCTGTCTCACAGAAGTGCTACCTGGCTCAGAGGAAGATGGGCCTGGGACTTAGCATTCCTTCAGTTATTGAGGATACCACTGGACATTTTTTGTATCTGCGCTGCTGTGTCACAGCACACAGGTAAACACACGTTTAGATTTAAAAGAAGTTCTTTCCCTTTGCACAGCAGTGAGACTGTTACTGCAACACCTTTTTTCCAACTCTGCTACAATAATAAATTTGTCATTTCCCAGGCTTCAGTCAGCAGCTAGTTGTTGATGTGACTGTTGAAATGAATGGATGATTTGCAAAGAGGTGTCAAATCCCTAAGAAGAAGCCTGCAAGGACACGATAATTTCACAACAGAGAATTCATGGCCATTATATCTTTCAGTATTCCTACTGTCTATTTCCTGCCTTGTTTAAATCTGAACATGGTATTTTTCTTTTCCACCTTTGCTACCCACTCCCTCTCCAGCCTCTCTCCCCACTCCCACAATGGTGCCCAGTCATTCAGTTGCCTTTTTCACAAACAATTCTAGCATTAGTGCCTTTTCAGGAAGAAAAAACCTAACCAAAACAAACAAAAAAACACAACAACAAAACAAACAAACAAAACCACAAAACAAACAACAAACAAACAAAAAACAACCAAACCACAAACAAGCAAATAAACAAACAAAACCAAAAACAAACAAAAGAAAACCAAACCCAAAATTCTCCAAAAGACCCATGACATGTAATTTCAGTGGGCATTAAATACATGAACCCATGGTTAGCTCTTTAGAGACTGCTAAGGTAATGTGAAAAGAACAGTGTCAATCAGTCCTGTTCAGTGCTGAAGGACTAAAGGGACACTAACAGAGAGGAGCCTGATTTCTCTGGATAATGAAAGATTATACTGACACCCCAGTCATACTCATGACCCCAGTGGCTTGTTTCTATTCACTGGATCAGCAGCACTCTCTGTGCACTTACAGCATCGACCTTTTCACTGCTATTTACCTGACTTTTGTTCAAAACCGTTTTATTTGCTTGTCCTTTTCTGAATCCCAACAAAGGTAAGTGAGTGCACCAATTATCCTCTAAAAGAGAAATCTGTGGCTCAAATCAAGCACAGAGTCTGTACTTACACTTTTCTTTTTTTTTTTCTCGTGCTACTTGACCAAAGTGTGCAGAGCTCTCTTCCCTTGCTGGGAAGTCTGCTTGAGCAGCTATTTCTCTCCACAGTTGTAATCTCCCATTCTCCTATCTCTGCTCCAGTTTTCCACAGTCAGTCCCTCCCTAGCAAGGGCAGCCTGCTCTGCACTGTGGGAGATGGTGTGGACGTACACACACACAGACAGTCTATCCCTGGAAACCCCAAGAGAATGGAAAAGGCAGCATCCTTGCTGGAAGAGGCGACTTCAGCCTGTCTCCATACCTCCACTAGAGACCAAGTGCTGCTGACGTGAAGAAAGCAGACAAGGGGAACCTTCTTCCTTGCTCCATGCTGGGTATCCCATGGTATTTCTTTAAGAGAAAAAGTGGGTAAGATGTTATTTCTTGCTGGTTTTTTTCTTAAGGAAGAATGAAATAATTGCTTAAATTGTGATGCTTGATATTGCAACCACTCTTTTCAGAGCATTTTGATCATATGCTAACATCATCGGTGGTGTGGTTTTTTCCACAGACAGATGGCAAGATGTGGCCCATACTTACAAGGAATTTACTCTGACTAAAAGAAGTGTGGCATGTATGTTCAGCCACAGCCTATGGGAATTTTCCTACACTTGTGGCAAAATCAGGAGATTTAGTGGCAGTCTTTTAATTTTGAATGCATATCAATTAAATAAATTTAAGGATAAGAAATACAGACTGAGCTATTGCAAAGAACACAGCAGTTTGTGTAGTAAATTGTTCTCTTATGTTCTGGGTGTGAAACAGCGTACAAAATAGCAGCTGCTGTTTGCAAGAGTTTGAGGGATTCCTGGATAATTAGTATCTCTGTGGCATTTTTCAGAGGTACAGCCCTCAGGAATGACAGAAAGTCAAGAGCCACTTCGTTGGTCATGCCTTTGTTGAATGGCCAGGTGAGGATCACTCTGAAAGTGTCCTGAGGCTCTAAACTTCAATGATTCAGCTCTGAGGAAGAGATCTTAAGGTGAGATTAACTGCCTGAAAGTCACAGTCCTTGAGAATTCAGAGAATTCTGAGAAAAATAGAAGTCATGACCAAACCCATGCAAGCTGTAGTGACTTTCAAGAATTGTTGGCAGCCCTCGGTAAAGGTTTGTGTACTGGTAGACCAGTTCATATTTTGGAGGACTCACAATAGAGATATCAACCTATTTCCAATATCTCTGTGTTGTTTTTGACATTATATAGTATGTTCCATGCTTAGATAATTCTTCTGAAAGCAGACATAAATTTAACAAGAAAATCACATTTCAAGTGGTAGATTTGGCTCTCAAAGTACTCTTATTTAAAAAAAAAAAAAAAGTCAGTAAAGCAATTGAGACTAAGGGCTTTGCACAGGTCACACAGTGGAGCAGTGATTCAGCTAAGATAAGAAGATTGACTCTCGTTCTTTCCTTTTTTTACCCCAACCATTAGATCCTCCTGCCAGTACAAACAGTCTGCATAACTTGGTAAGAAGGTTAAAAAGTCAGGTCAAGTTCATTTTAAATTGCTTGAACCACTTGTGGAATGTAAACTCTATGATCAAGTTTGCATTTAACCATGAATCTTCGAACAGTTCAGTACAGGGACAAAAACTGATTGCACAGCAAACTACAGCTGCATGATAGGTACAGGCCAACAGCGTAGGTGGATCTTCTAATCTTCTGCTGGAACCTTTAAAGTGATTTACTATCTCCATATAACAGATATGCTCCATTCTCATTACAAAATTTAAACCCAGGTTTGAATTAGCTAACTCACAGCCCTGCAGAACAGGGCTTGTTGGAGTATGTAAGAACAAAACTACTTAATCAGCTATTAAGAGTGATGAAGAAACACACGATGTTTCTGCAATTTAGCAGAATAATGAAGCAAGACTCTGGAAGGAAAATAAAGGGATATAGGGCATGCCCTGCTCTGAGTGGGAGGAGTAGTTGCACCCATGTGCAAGCATTTTCAATCAACACAGCTTCTGTTCAGAGCAGCCAAGGCAGGATAGCATTGACTTCAGCGCACAGTAGCTCCCCCAAGCATAATCCAGCTCCAAATAAACTTGTTGCAAAAATAAGAACTAAATGCCTTAGTTTCTGCCTCTGTTATTTGTGTGGTACTTTCTTTCAGCTAGAAAACACGGAAATTCATACTAAGACCTAGTCTCTGCCATCGGGCTCCCAAAACGAGCAACCAAGGCAGGTAAACAGCTAGAAGAGGGAGTCCGATGGGTTCTGTATTACTGCTGAGGACTGAAGGCAAAAAGACTCTGCTCTCTTGTTCGTTAAGGCTTAAGCCTGCATCCATGCTCCAAGCCCCGTCTATCCCCACTGCCTACTCACCGGTTTCCTAGGGTGAAGCTCAGAGCAGGAGAGCTGCGGCCAAAGGCAAGTCTGGTGCAGAACGGGGTCTCTGCTCGTACCAGCCGTGCGGGTGCAGCACACCCAAACCCCTCGGGCACGGCCACTGGACGCTGCCCAGCCGGCCGAAGGCTGTTAAACCCGCGAAGGCGCTTACTGCGGCGACCGGGGTTACTTGGACAAATCCAGCAGCTGGAGCCGGCTCACCCCTCGAGGTGCCCGGACCGGACACCCGCGCATCTCCGCAGGGACGCGGGCAGCCGCCCACGCCCGCCACGTCCCGTCCCGTCCCGTCCCGTCCCGTCCCGTCCCGCAGACCGGCGTGGGGAGCCCGCTCCAGGCCACCACAGGGGGGAGGAGAGGGGCCGTCATCACCTGCGTGGGGTTTTGGGTTACCCCTCAGCGTCGGGAGGAGGGGAGAGCAGAGCCAGGGACGCGGGCAGCTGGTGTGAAACGCCATGGGTGTCAGCTGCTGCTGTGGGGGGCACCAAGAAGCAATGCTTGAGTATTCATCTTACACAAAACTGTTTTTCTGTAAAGCTTTAGGTGTAAGGACAAGAACCCAGGTTCTCTTGCTCAGTAACAGACCTAAGAACAGAGATATGCGCTCCTCCCCCCCCCCCGCCCCCAGCCCTGACACCAGAAAGCATAAACAGATTTTTTTTTTCCTTTTTTTTTTTTTTTTTTCCTTCAAAAAAGCTTCAACAGGAGACATTACAACCCTCCTACCTGGCTGCCCTTTCTGTCCTCAAGTAAGTTAGCTCAGCCTGAGTTCCCTCTTCATCTCAGCTACATTTGTCACACGTACAGAGCCATCTTATAACCCATCCCTTCCTCAGCCTGGATGGCCATGTAGAGTTAGAAAGCAGGACTGTAAAAAACACCAAGCAGCTCTCAAAAATGGCTGTGAACAGAAAGAATCCCATCAAATTTCAGTGCAGGCAAAACAACGCCAATCTGACAATGTAAACTAAAGTAGCAGCTTACACCCCTGCCCCTCTCCCCTTGTCCGGGAGCCCTGGGAGAGGAGAAGCTGTTCTCCTTTTCTTTCTTTCCCCTCCCTCTGCACCAGCACATTATTTGCCAATGCACAGCTAGAATGGTAATCCTCTTCCCTCTGTTATTTTTGACCTCTCCCTCAGGCCTGGTCCAGAATCCACTTAAGAGAATTAATAAAGGCTTTTGTTTCTGACATAGTGAGTCTGTGTCAGCAAAAGTTGGTCTCCAGCAAGAATGGCAAGAGATGTGACATCAGGAGTAAATCACTCCTTGAAATACTTCTGAGAAAACCAGACCACCGATTTATGACTGGTTTATAGTTAAGGCTTTGATTTTGATGTTCCAAAGTATTTTTTATTTCTGCAAAAAATTCAGTCGCTTCCAAGTGGCAGGACAGTTTCTTCCTAATATCATTAAAAAGAATTACAGCATTCAAACCTACAGTAAAACACAGTAAATAAACTAATGAGGAGACAGGAATTTTCTACCATTGCAAACATCAAGGCACTTTTCTGTCAGGCAGCTTGTTTCACATCCAGAACCCAACCCAAACATTACCAAAGAAGGACAGTGAGGGAGTAGGGTGGTATTAGGGGTGAGAGGGCACTCCTGCCTCTGTCGGCGTTGTTCTCTGAATTTTTTTACTATGATGGGAAATAGCCAGAAATACAGAGTACCATGCAGCAACTGAGGAAGAGAGACTGAATTTACTAGTGTTTCAAGAAGGTAATAACCTGCTGAAACTGCAATGAGTCATTTGAACTAGATGTTAAGAGATTTTTATGGCATGAAAAATACATAAACTTGCCTCAGTGTGTTGCTATAGCACACACACACTACTTGAAATGATTTATTTTGACCTTGATGTAATCAGGAAGTAGTCAAGAAGAAATTCAAGTAGTCAAGAAGAGTTACATCAGACCAACAGTGTGTGTACAAAAGAAAAAAAAAAAAAAACAGTTGTTTTTTTAAGAAAACACCCTAGCTTTTCATAATGTCTGAAGTAAAACAAAAAGGATAAACTGGACAGCACTGTACAAAATATACAACCATCTGGGTAACTATGGCTGAGTCTATGGAGGAGGAGATGGGCTGGATAAGTCTGTGGGTAGAGAAGATTGGTCCAGCTGTGTTTGAGAGCAGGACCTGACCTCAGCCACAAACTGCAAAATGCCACTTAAGAGGATGGGGCAAGACTGCACAAGAAGTAAGGCAGCTTTAACGTGCTGGGACTTACAGGTGCTAAATTAACCAAGGGAGCAGTTGTTATCTCAGATTTATTCAGTGACTGGAAACAGCAAGAGACATGAAATCAGGGGTAAAATAGGCCACTAATTTGCATGCTTGCTCAGGAGTTAATCACTGCAGGCTATCTCTGGGCAAGCCACATCTGCCTGTGTCACACAGGATAATAGTATTTTCTTATCTCACCTCAGTTATGTAAGATTAATATATGTAACATCCAGGAGCAGTAGAAAGAGTGGTGATGAAAATACCTAAGTTTTGCTCCCAGAAAATGCTCAAATACCTGAAGAAAAAAGGTGCCTAAATGAAGTTTAAGACATCTGGTGAATGATTTTATACTGCATGGAAAGTCCCGATCCCAGTATACTTTGCTATACCAGAAACATTCCTTTGGCAAGCTGTATCCATCTTAAAAAAAAAAAAAAAAAAAAAAAAAAAAAGTCCTCAGCCATCATCAGCCTAAAGCACTTGCAGGTGCTCTGCACAGGACATGAATACAAATAAAATCAAAACCAGCACCACTCTTTCTCCCCACCCTCAAGCAAGTATTCTTCAGTTTTCTGCTACAATTTCTGAATCCCCTTCCCAATGCTGCGCATCCCTGGCAGTTCCTCTGCTTCCCAAATCTCAACTCCTGGCATTTCTCACACCTACTTTGATCGTGTTACCTGCCTCTCTACTTTCATACTTCTCCTGCACGGTTTGAACCACTGTGCTTTTCATCGTGGGAGACCAGGGGTACTGCTATGTAACTACTTTTTCCCTCTGAGGACAGGCATTTAATGAGGACTACTGCAGTCCTTTCTTGTGCAGTTCTTGCCCCCCGTGACACAATGTTCAAAGGGTTGTCAAAAGCCTCCATCATGGAATTTCCTAATGACATGTGGTTTGTTTGATAGATTAGGCCTATTGCCAGTGCAGCAATGAAGGCATAAAACTTATCAGCTTCTACTTACTTCATTGTCTAAGTGCAAGATTGCTTTGTAGCTGAAAGCAAAAAACTTCATTTAGCAAGCGAGGCTATTACAGTGGAAGATTATGAAAATACATTCTGGAAAAAAGACCGGGAAAGAACGATATAAACAACAACAGGAATAAGTTTGTTATTTAACTCTGTCACTGCCTTGATGTCCATGGTACACAGTGAAGGTGGTGGCAGCTGCGCGACCCAGGGGCAAGTTGGAGGGCCCTTGGGGACAGCGAGGAGGCTTTCCCCAGGAGCCGATAGCGGAGAGGGGGGCGGCACTGCAAAAACATTCCTTGCTTCACCTTTGGTCTTCATTCCTTCCTCACTGAGATGCTGATAAAGAAACTAGAATGTGGAGAAACTTCTGCTCTTGCAAGGGAGCTACAGCTCCTCTGGTCCATTTCCTCCTCAGCATGCTGCAAAATGCGAGGTCTCCAGGGGTGAATAAGCTGATGTGTTCAAGAAAGCAAACTGAAATGGATATAAACTCATAGTAACCTCAGTTAAAGCATGGGAGAATACCAGTGTGACTGTGGACTGGGCTCTGATAAGACTGGTACGTGTGGTCCAGACCAGCACCATTCTTCTGAGATACCATGTATTTTTAGGAAAGAATGAGGACTAGAGAACAAATACACCCCTTTTCAAATCTGGAAGGCAGAGTTGATCATTTGCTAAGGGGCTTCTTCAGTGGTAAATGACAGGTAAATTAAAGGCTCGCTGACTCCCAACATGCTGGGGAGATGGAAGAGAGAACGGGGAGAATAATGGAAGGAGAAGCATAAACCAGCATGCTGTGAATTGGTGCAGCTGGGGAAATATGTCAAGTTTATGAAATGACAGATTTTAAACATTGACTTTTTGTGTCACAGTAAAAATAAATTTCAGGACAGCACAGAGACATTCAGTATTGTGAACAGTTTCTGAATTAGTCTTTATGAAGATATGAATAGGCCTGATTAATCTTGCAGTAATGTGCTTGCAGGTGGGGACAATCTCTCTGAATTCAGGACATCAGTCATATACAGTTGGAAGCTGAGACCTGAATTGTATGCACAATACTTATAAAATATATTATTAACCTGGACATCCAGATTTCTCTCTGTTTTCTATTACAAGCAATTTTTGTCTATATTTCTGAATTACACATAGACTTTGAATTAAAAAACCCAGCTTTGTTCACAAAGAAGGAAAGGGTTTTTTTCTGTTTTTCACTACCTCTATGGCATGTGCCTGATCATCTCCAACTCCAGTATATACTAAGCAGAACAATCATCAATGAGACTCTTACAAAATGGTTTTTACACTGCAAGAGTATTTTTTATACACCCCCTATTCAGAGGGAGGAGGAAGATACTGACGTTGTCCATTCATAGTGCTGAGAAATGCAAAGGAGAAAAATAATCAATGTATGCATGGATCTAAACCAGCTTGAAGGTAGCACTTCTTTCTGATATGGTCACTGGCAGCTGCTTACTTGGTGTACATTATATAATCATCTAACTGATGAACCTAAAACACTATCTTGGTAGTTCTGATAAAGGATACCCAGGAGCCTCTTTCATTGCAACTGAAATGATAGTTCCGGTGGATGGATTGCATAGTTTCATATCGGGGGGTGAGGAGGAGCGGTGTAAAAACAAAGATAGATCTTTGTTTTGTGTTGGGGGGGATATTTATTTTAGCAGAATATTGTTAGCTGAAGTAAAAACAAAATATTTGAGTCTGGATTGAATGTTTTGTTGCATCAGATGATTATGCATGCCATCCGTTTGTATCAATTTGGATCATAAATGATACTTTTGATACTGTTTTTCCCAGAGGATGCAAAATTAATTTTTGATCAAATTAGTGGTTTAACTTTGCCAGTAATTATTGGAGTTATCAGTATCAACACAAAATGGTAATTTGTTTTCATTTGTATTTTGCAAAAGCCTACTAACCAACGCAATGCTAATTAAAAAAAAAAAAAAAAACAAAAAACAAGCTAATACTATAATTTTAATGCAGTACACCAAAAGATAAGCCAGCAGTAGATCAATATATAGCTTAGTGTTTTGACAGGAGTGTGCATCTGTTTCCTATTAACTTTGCTTGAGACAAGTAAGGAATCAAGGTTTCCCGTGATTTAATTCGAAGAGCAATTTGAATTTCCTGTGTCTCAGCTGGAGACATTATTGGTATGAGACCAGAAGGGCCCTAACTGTCCTAGGAGGTTCATGTTTCACAAAGAAAAATACCTACAGAAATTCAAACAGAATGTCAAGAAGTGTTATATGGGAACTCTCAGTGCTCTCCAGTGTTTCTAATATAAACTCACAAGGCAAAACAATATTAAACCATAAGTTTCAGTCTCTCTTCTTGCCACACAGAAAGCCACCAACTTGGAAAAGAAAATGAGCTAATGAATGCTGCTCAGCACATCACCCGAGTGAACTTCTGTCCAGTGGAAATGCTAAAATTCCCCATCAGATTCTCTGCAAATGACATTACTGACCCAAGTAGCCAAGAATATTTTTCACAGAGAGGGCACAGAGTCTGGACAGACAGCCACCCAGCTCTGGTTAGGCATGTTTTTCAGAGAGGGCCGAGAACGTTACCTGCAAGAGTGAGGATCTGTAATTTTTCCCAGGCTGTGTACACAGAAGTGAAGACACTCCAGACTCTTACTTGCTTGTTTAAACCATGGCCCTGGTTCCTGTGACTAACATAATGCCGATGACATATTTGCATGAATAATTAAACATTATTAGGGAGATAATGGCCATCTCTTACCTCCTTTTACTGGATTTTTTACAAAGTGCACTTCACTGTCTTATACTTTTGAATGAGGAAGGGAATTATTCTGAGCCATTCAGATTGTCAGGAGGTTAATATATCATCACCATTCTGGCTTTCTTCTTCAGGAGGAATGCCTGTCCCACTGGAGTCATCCCTGGATTTTGCCATTGGTCTCAGTGAAGCTGACATTTTTACTGATTGGGCTCCCGGGTGGCTGGAAGAGGTCTGGAGAGGCAAGTGGAGAGACTGGGAATTTTAACACCTCCTGTGCTCAGGTAAATATGATTTTGTGCATGCTTGCATACAGACAGATCTGTGTCTAAGATACTCATCACTTATTTTTCCTCCTACCCAGAATAATCCACAAGACACCGAGTTTTAACTCAGCAGCCTCAGTCAAAAGGGGCAATGCTGGTTATTATTTGTAGTTTACTTCCTTTCAGCTTGTGTAGTTCCTAAGAACTTGTTAAAACTATTCTAAAAATCAGTCATTACCAGTTTTGTGGAAAAAATTTGCACTGTTTCTTTCACAGTGTAAATTGTCTTTATTGCTATTTCTTCTGGTTGTGGTTAAACCGTACTGGCATTTTTAAAATCATACCATTACTAGATTTTTAAAGAAGCTTCAAATAGTTCTGTTGTTTTATGGCCCAGAAAAATAAACTAGTCTGAAAAATAATGAAAAACTTTTGCCCAATTGTGACTGCAGTAATGAGTATAAAACATAAAAGGGCTTAATTTAGGCTATGATGATGGAAAAGTTAGGGTCTGGGTTTTTTTTAATTCACATATATTTTCTGAGCTTTTGTTGTTGGGTTTTTTAAATGTTGAATTAGTACCGAGGAGTCTGATGTTTTTAATGCGAAAGTCAAAAGATTTTCAGCAGAGGCTCCTCTCATGTTTTGGAAGCCCTGTTTGTCTCAAAAAAACAAGAAAGCAAACAAAGCATGTTACTCTGAAATATTAAACTTGTTTTTGTTTAGAAGCTACACATGTATGCTAACCAGTAAAAAGCTATTCCTGGAAAGTTCATTTTCTAGTGCTTTTTTTTCTACCATTAGCTTTTTTTGCTGTATGAGATTTTATTTTTTCACATTAAGATTCTACAGTGCTACTGATCCCACAGCTAAGACATCTTATGATTTATTAGTCTATATTTGTAGCCGATACTTGACATGTTTGTCATATCATTCTGCATAAATATTCTCTGAACACTGCAGCAACATTATCTAATAAAAACACGTTCCATGATGAACAGAATTTACATGCAGCCTCCAAAATTTTTTACTAAATTTGGAGCACATACTTAAAAATTCCTAGTCAGGCAGCTGAAAATTTGATATTTGACATTCAGTAATAAGTGATAATTAATCATATAGAGCCAGAATTTCATTGCCATATATTGGGTGTATCAATCTTGAAAGACAATTGGGTTCTGTCATCGGGTATGGAAAATTGCAAAGGGGTTTATTTATGGTTAGTAGCTATTTTATCACATATGATCTTCAGATAAACCATTTTTTTTTGTTTTGTTTTGTTTTGTTTTCCCAGCAGATATTATATCTCATTGTAAAGGCCTTGGGGGTCTCTTACAAGCAGCAATGTCATCCCTGACTGGAGCACAAAGCAATTCTGTAGGTAACAAGAGAAGATCACCTTTAATGATATAGCCTTCAGGTCCCAGAAGGATGTAGAAGTGTCAAGATGGAACCTAACTTTATTTCTGTATAAACAACCTTCTTTCACTTCTCCAGGTCCAGATCAAGATGCTTTGATAATTAAATGCTGAAACAGCATCTAGGAGTATGACTTGGCCTACTTTGATCATATTCCCCCAACAACCCGAAAGTTTGTAGTATTTTTCACAGTTGGTACAACACTCTACAGTTGAAATGCGCAGAAATCCTCAAGAACTAACTTTGTGGCAGTAACATTTGACCATTTGAAATACGGGGTTGTTTTGGAACAGAAGAATTTTTTTTTTTTTTTTTTTTTGGCTGGTGCTAGCATGCATTTTCTTGACCTCTCCATAAAGACCTGGCCATGCCAGGTTCTGAGGACTCTCTTGGGGATACAGAACATTTGTTGCTGTCCATGGAAACCTTGCCCTTGTGCACTCTGTGTGACGCAAAAGCCATAAGGATAATGTTTACACAAAGTCATTTGTAGCACTACTGATAACGCGAGTGAGTGCGGCTTTTTTACATGGGTTGGTACGTATTTTCTGAGAAGTTGGAGTGGCACATCCCTGCCCAGCCCATATTGTGGAGAGGTAGTCTGTACATGCCTTACTTTAGTCAAAACTTTTCCTTTCCTGGAATTTTTCCAAGGTTTCCATATGTTAAAACAGTGTTTTCCGTTACTAAATAAATAATAATAATAAAAGATTGACCTAGTTTTCTCTTACTAAATCAAGGCTTGAAAGGAAAATGGCCAATACCCAAATGTACATCCAATGACTAATGTGAGAAAATGCTTTTTATTACATCCCTAATGTATTCCCATAACTGTGCCACACTTCTGAGAAAGTTCTGGCAGCTGAGCTCAAGAAATCCAACACTTACTCTTTATTACAGTATTTCTTTCATTAAGAAAGGCATGATCTCTGACCCAGAAAGGTCAACAAACAGCCTTGCATGGATTTTGGTAGGCTGTGGGTCAGTCCCATGGGATTTGTCTGGAGAGGCAGATGCTAGATTTTGTCTCACCTAATTTTAAACATTTTCTATATAGGCATCTCTGAAGTCACACCAGTCAGGGGAAAACAGAGCATGACTATCAGTACTACTTTAGTGTCTGCTTGATGATGAGAGGAATCATGACCAATGAGGCCCTATATTCCTCTATACAAAGGGGAACTCTGATCTTGACCGTTGCAGACCTCTTCAGTGTAGACATTTCCATTCAGTCAGATGCATCCCATCAGAAAGATTCCCCTGTCAGTTCCCTACAGGCTCCCTTTGTCTAAAATAACTTGGTCAAAGATGAAGTATATCTCAAAATCATTTATGTGTACAGAAGTTAATCCTGTAAGCATGATGGTTATTCCGATGCATACTGTTGCTGTCCACCACATGACGGTAGGCACCGACACCACAGCTCAGTGGGGAGCTGATGAGAGGAGGGGCTGTAACTGTGCTCACTGGTTCCCCACGGTGTAGGAGGGGTAGCAGACTGTTTGGCCCCACTGCTCTAAACTCCATCACACTTGGTGTAGACCATCCAGCTCTCGTATTACGTTATTCGGAAATGTGCCTGACAAATGCTGGATGCTTTAAGAATCAGAAAATAGAATTTTAATTTGTAAAAGCAACTAAAAATGCTTGCTCTATTTTTTACACTGAGATTGCTTAAAGGATAATTTTTCTAACTATTTTAACAGTGAAAAAAGACTAATTTTTCAACTTGCACATCTGAAAGAAGAGAAGTCATTATGGTGTGAAGTTGTTATGGTATCAACTGTTTGCAAAAATCAGCCAATTAGGTCTTTTTCTTGCACATGTAACTATCCACCATGGTCCAGCCCTGTCTTTAGAATCTGGCCTTAAGAATAAAATAAACCAGTTTCATGATTTATGTAACTCAGGTGATATTATTTATGCCAAAGAATAAGCTAAATCATATCAGTGTTCAAAAAAAATCAATGTTTTTAGCACCACAGCTTAACGATGACTATGATTTACGGTCTCTGAAGGATATGGGTAAGTGTTCAGGGAGAAAAGATTTGCAGCCTTGAAATTCACAAGCAGGTAGATAGTGATTTTAAAAACCTTTGTTACCTGAGCTCATTTTGGAGACTACAACAAACTTGAGTATTTTCCACCAGAAATTAAAAAAATATATTTTAAAAAATGAAAATAGTCACAAGATTCGTTATCATTAATAAATTACTACAAATTTGTCAAAAGTATAGAAGAAATTAAATACAGTACACAGAAAGGTACCTTGGGGTCCTTAAATATGGTTTTAAATGGAACTTGCAACTCTTGCCTCTTATTCACTCATGTAGTGACAGGAACACTCATTCACCAGCAGAAAAGCTGGACTGCAAACTCTCCTTAGCCACAGGGACTTACATTAATCTTTTTCAACTCTTCAGAAAATGAATGCTATAATTAGTGGGCTGTACACCAGCCAGGCCTATGGCTGATGTTGGAGCATTGTGCAGCCAAGAGCACAAACCCTGGAATGAAAGAGCAAGCAAGACTTTGTAGCATAATGTTATTTAATTTAGCTAGAGAGGGACAAAATTACACATATGCATCTGAGAACCACCAGATGTTGGACATGCCTATTGTATCTGTTAGGAGCTGTAATATGTGTGAGTTATTTCATTCCTTGCTCTCCATTTCTGAAAGTACATAAAATCCCACACTCTGAAATTCATTAAAATACCATATTGTTCACGACTATTTATATACTTTAACAAAATCCAGACATCTATTTCAGGAGAAGAGAAAGCTGAGAGCAAATATTCTGGGAATCCAAGGAAGTTCCAGCAGTTAAAATAAATGTTTGAAGCACCCTAACAGCATATTCAAAGAGGGGCGACAAAAATGGTTTGTATAATGCATGGTATCTGCTACACTTCTTAGTGTAAAACAAGATGTCCTCACAACACGACAGTAAAAAATGTAAGGTCATATTACAGTTAGCTTAAGATTTGTCTCATTAAAACAATATGGTAGTTAGAGGAAGAATAAAAATGTGTGAAAAATTGTATTTTCTTTTCCACAGATATTTCAAAAAGGTGACAGAGAGTGTTGTTACGAACTAAAAGTAAATGCAAGCAATTAAAATTATTTTTTAATTGCTTTCAGACTATTTCCTAAACCAGTGTGAACTCCTGTAAATAAACTCTCCATCACAGGTGGAGCTTTTTTATGAACTTTATTGGTCTAAAAGTTAGGTGTCAAATTTTTCATCTGTATTGATGGAAAGTGGTAGTCATCCTAGAAACACAGTTCACCTTATCCAAAAATACAGGTCTAGGATAGACAGGTCATTGTCCTCTGAAGGCTCTTGTCACTCCATTGACCATTGAAGACATTTAGACTGTCACCCAACTGTTGAAGCCTGAAATTGAGAGATACACTCTGTTTTTGTTCTAGCACAACAGTGATGACTGCTGGATATTGTCATTTTAGTTACAGTTGTTAGAATTCTTCCAAACTGTGACTATAAGGATGCCAGGGCATTTGACTTATTTCTTTGGGGTTAAACCAAGAGCCAGCAGGGAAGTTGATTTGGAAAGGACAGAAATAAATCCCTTATATATTCAAAAAATATAATCAGGTCTTTTTTAAGTAATTGAGGTAGCACTATAATCGCTGACCTATAAAACTAACTGAAAGTGAGAGCACAGATATTTTTGTTATGCTTGATTTCAGCGTCATTTTCATTAATAATTTCTGCCATTATTTCTGACCTAGAATATGATTCACGAACTTGAGATCATTATAAACTCTGCAAGCTTTATTATACACTTGAGTTCATTGACAGACAGCCTGCTGTCTACGAAGAAAAGTGGCCCTGAGTTTTCATTTGAAATAGATGTATATTGTGTGTATGTGTGTGAGATTAATTATTCATTGGAAATAATAAGATAATGATAATACAGTTCTGATTTATATGAAGTGAGTGGGAGAAAAATGAAAAATAAAGAAGTAAGAAAGAATGTGTTAACAGTAGCACTGGACAGCACCAGTAGCATTTTCTAGGAGACTTTCCAAGAAACCCAAGACATTTGTGACTTGTCAACACTAGGAGTATAATACAGTACCTCAGAAGAAGTATCAACTTCTATAACTGGTTTTGGATGATGACTGCATTTAAGAACACCTATAAATTGGACCATCCTTTCTATGCTTGGATACCCTGACAAAAGAGCCAGCAGCTTTGGACTTTCAGGCCTAGAAAATCAAATCCCATGTATTAAGAAAAATGCTGTCAGGTGCTTGACAACGTCCAGGCCTTCCAAAGCATGTGTCAAACATGTCTGCAACAGGGTGACTAAACTGATGCATAACACAGGATTACCTGCCAATGACTTGCTGATCCTCACCTAGGGCTACATGACAAATTCTGCAGAACAGATCTTTATGAAAAACTGGAAAAGTGTCAGAAATGTAATGAAATTTACTGGGTCAATGAAGAATGTTTAGTAGCTGATAAAGTTGTTATTTAGCAAAACCTGGTTAAATAAACTATTTTATTCTCCATTTTTTTCCAGACTCGTTTGCCTACAGATGGAATACCTGTTTGAAGTGAGGAAGTGCAAATAACTGATGTTTGGCATTTGAGTTGCTACTTTGCAGACAAACACATGTGAAATCATATGAATTAATACTTCTACCTCTCAGATATTTTGTGGAAATAATTAAATCTTTCTCTTCCAGGTATGGAGTAGTGTAGTGTAGTAAGTTTCCTGCCAGCTGGACTGACTGCTGTCCTTTTACGGCATACCAGCCTTTCAATGTATTTTAAGTGATCTTTTCCTACAGTGATGTTAAGGAGATTTTGTCATGAAGTTTGTGATATGGGATTAAGATCAGTTATAATAGTTTGTTCTTGCTAGTTTTAGCTATGTTATTCTTCAGTGTAGTTCATCTCAACCAATGACTTCGGAACAGTAAAAGAAAATAGTGTACTCTGAAACAGGAGGAGCTGTGAGTTTTTCCTTTACACTAACATAAACCCACTGAAGTTCAGTTATATAAATCCACCACAGAACAGACAACTCACAGCAAAATAATGCCAAGGAATGTTGTTTATTGTAGGCTTATCACTTATCTATTTCAAGATCAATTTGTATGGTTTTGTAATATATAGGTTTATGAGGATAAAGCATCACATTAGCATTAATGTGGGCTTTTTAAGTAGAGAATGTTTGTGATAGGTTGGTGTTAAAATTAGGATGATGACCAGGTTTCTGTTCCGTTTCATGTGTTTGATGATTAACCCATTTTATTTTCCTCCTGCTACTTTTAAATTTATTTCTGTAACTGTCTTGCCACTGGATCAATACTTTCCTCTTTACCAACAACGAGATACTTGTCTAGGTATATATTGAATAATTTCTGGCTGTTTGTTTCAGCTGTGAAAGCAGGTGCCTGTAAGGAAGATGTGGTTGGCATTAATATTACCATTCACAGCATCTCTCTTGTCAAATACCAGACTAGATAATACAAAAAACAAATTTTGGTAATAAGTTCAGAGTATTGGTTAAAATTTGGCAGTCTGTGTTGCTAAAGAGATCAGAACAAATGTGTGGGATAGTACCCTCTCAGTTTAAAATCTGACTCCTGCTGGGTTGCTTATGAATGACACTGCATGGAAAACTAAATTTACTGAGAAAATTGACACTAAAATTACACTAGTGTCTG